TCTCTCTATATATATATTTTTTTTAATGTGCATACTTTAGCGTCCATGAAACGATTACCAGTTGGACTTGATAACACCTGTTAATGAGCACAAAGATGTGATTTATGTGGCGTACAATTAGAAGTACCTACCGGTGGCACCTGATAGTGAGGGGAATAATCTATGAGTTTATCAATGACTGAAACTGTCTGAAAACTAAGAGAGAAAGGGGGGAGCGAGGGAGGGAGAGAGAGAGAAGGAGAAAGGGGCAGGGAAAAAAGAGTAGAGAGAGAAAGAGAGAGGGAGGGAGGGAGGCAGGGAGAGCAGGAGAGAGAGTAGAGAGAAAGAGGGAGGGAGAAATAGAGAGAGTGTGTATTAGAGCAAATAGGACCAAGAATTATATTACCTTCCAGTAATCTCTCCATTATTGTATTTATCAATATACGACAGACTGGACTCTAAAATAAAACATATTATATTATTACTATGTAATTTTGTAAGGTTAAGAGAGAATCATTGGTCAGGAAGGGAGCAGACATCACATGAAGAAATAAAGACAGAGAAGGTCTGACATGGAGACAGACAGCAGGGCAGACAAAAATAATTAAATTATAATTACTGAAAGGATCTAACATGCAAACATGTACACATGGAACAAGACTGAACTACTAAACCAAGAAGAGTGGGTGAGACAATTAAGACATTTCCTCTAACACCAACAGAAACCAACACACTCTTACTATAAATGGAGTGAACATAGTAGGACCTATGTTCCCCTCAGTGTAATTAACTTAAGTACTATACTGACATCATATCACGTGAAACGAAAACCAATCAATAGTATATTAATAATAATTGTACAATGAATACCTACCTTACCTACATTGTAATAATACTATAACACTATAAACTTCCCTCCAAAACCTTCTCTAGCAGCAAGGAAGGTCATACAGCACAACAATAGCGTGGCTCGGGAGCTAAGCCCCTTCAAATGTTTTACATTCTTTTAGTACTCATCATTCTTCTAGTACTCAATATACATGTACTTACCGCTAATCTTAGCTTCAATGAGAGTTCCTGTATTTTCTGTTGAGAGTGTGAGAGCAAACCCTTTAAGAGAGAACAGATATGACACTCTGGCTGAATCAGGAGGTGAATATGGAGGAGGTGCAACACCTGAAAATTAAAAAAGTATTTGTAATAAGAGCTAGCTAGTGTATTTATAAACATAAAGAGTAGATGCATTACATGTAAGTAAAGTGATTACTTGTTATTAATTTATTGAGGCCACTCCCACTACTAGTAATGCCACTAGCAACAGTTGGATCGCCACTGACAGTCATTAAACTCCTAATATAAGAATAACAATCAATAAAATTATATTATGTACTAAATCACATTCCCCATTTCACAATGATATATACTTTATATGCTTTAACGTAAGAATTTGACTTAAAATTCTAATTTGGCTACACATGCATGGTTTGGATGTATGTGTATATGTACATGTACGTGTATATGTACATGTACGTGTATATGTACATGTACGTGTATATGTACATGTACATGTACATGTATATGTATATGTACATGTATATGTACATGTGTAGGTGTGTACTTGAATGGAGGAAGGTTGAGGTCAATGAACAATGAGAGGACATCAATGAGTGCTTCTCTGTGAAGACAAAGACTAAAGTAATTGATATTAATAACGTTCTGTTCTTCTGTTGATTTATAAACTGAAGTGTACAATGGAGTATTTGGATTAGCCTGTATAATAATAATAATAAGAATAACAATAATAAGAATAACAATAATAATAATAATAATAATAATAATAATAATAATAAACAATAATTGTGTGATCTGGGTGGAAGGAATTAACTCACTTGTATGTATTTTATAACAAGAAATTCTTTAAAAGTTTCAAACAACTTTATTGAAGATCCATTAATATCTAGAGGGAGAGAGAGGAGTGGAGAGATATGGTTAAAAAAATTTAATAATTATAAAAAATTTATAATAAAAAAAGAGAGAGAGAGAGGGAAGGATCCCTGGGAGGAAGTGTCCAAGCGTTACCTGATCTTGATACGTTTCTCAATAAAACTTGATCAACTCGTAGGACCAGCTGTGATGCCTGTTCCCTCATCTCATAGACCAGGCTCACTATGGAGACTTGCAATGCTACAAACCCTCTCACCCAATTCTTATTCGATTCTTGCTGTAGATGGACCTCAATCTGAAATATATCGACAGTAATAAAACATAAAATTAATAATAGTAATAATGCTACTTACTTTGTTAATGGAAGCATCAATAGTCAATACTGCATAATCTTCACTATAAAAATAATAAAATAATAATATTATTGTTATTAAATAATAATAATAATAATAATAATAAATGCATGTATATGTAATACGATGAACTTAATGCATATATAATCAAGTAATTAACTGACTCATTGATTGTACATGTACTAATAATGAATGAATGTAATAAATTTAAGTTATTTGAGTGTGTGTGTGTGTGTGAGTGTGTGTGATGGAGAGAGAGAGAGAGAGAGAGAGAGAAAGAGAGAGAGAGAGAGAGAGAGAGAGAGAGAGAGAGAGAGAGAGAGAGAGAGAGTCTATTAGTAATCATGTTTGGATAAAGTATGTATACACATGTTTGTGAGTGACTGTATAAAAAGATAATCATTACATAATGAATGGAAATAAGTAAATAAGCATGTAGATATACAATGTACATGCATGTACATGTACATACACATGTAATTGTGTATGCTTGTCTCAATGTACATGTACATGCATTACGCTTATGTACATGTACATATATTCACAGTTCATTGGAACCAGGTATATACATGCACTACATGTACTTACCCTCTATCGCTGTCTTCTTCAAAATTGAGTTGAGTAACAGAGCGACCAAGGATAGGAGAGTGAGGAGATACGGAGAATCTCTTGAGATCGTGATACATTGTTGATACCAATGGCTCAAGACTACCCATATCTGATAGGGTACTACTGTCATCCATTAGGAATATAGGGCCATCAACCTACAATGTAACAACAACAACAACAACAATAATAATAATACTAATAATATATTAATAATAATAATAATGAAGAAAAAGAATAAGAGAGAATAATAATAATGATAATGATAATAATAAATAAATAAAGAGATCAGAAAATAAAGTCAGATTAATAATAATAATAACACTAACTTCTTCATCATTACTAGCATCACTAGTTTGTTGTAGTGTATTGGTTGCTGTCTTAACTGCTACTGACAATGACGACAGTTGTCCATAAAAGAACTCCAATATATCCTCCAGTTGCCTGTTAGAAAAGCTGACATGTAATTCTGGACTGCTAGCGTTGACCATTAACCTAAGAGACAACAATAGAATGAGATGGTAGCAGTCTTAATCCACTGATTCTAAGTGGTGGCTTACTGAGAAGGAATTAAGATACTGTAGAATGTAGTGTAGGTAGCAATGGTCAATAGAGTGTCCACTCTACATATTAATACAGAGTCATCCTTTAGTCCAGTGAGAGTCTTGTTAGTGTAATCATTATCTTGTAATTGGGTTAGCAGGTTAAGCCAGTGAGGAGCTAAGAAGTAACATAAAGGAAGCAAATACTGTATAGCAGGAAGTTTTGAAGGGACTAAAATTTGGAAAATTGCTAAATTTTGGTGATTGGCGAATTTTAATTTGGCAAATTTGTGGCCATTTGCCATTGAGCATGTGTATAATGGCTCAAAATGGCAGATTTTTATTTTGGCAAATGGCTATCAAAATACCAAATTCACTAAATTTAATCTCCTTTAAAATTTCCCACTATATGGTATAGTGTGTAGGGGCAATGTAGCATTAACTACAAGTGAAGGAATGAGAAACAGTCATTAAGAACAATAGCATATAATTATAGCAGAATAACACTCAATGTTTCAATTGTAAGTGAATTTAGGCCTAAGGGGAATATCATATTATTTAAATAATAATAATAATTATTATAATTATTGTGATTTGTGAAAAACAATAGTGTTTTCAAAGTAAACTCTTCTACTGGGCAAACAAAGAAATTTTAGAAAGAGTAGAACAATTACTGAGAAAGCATAAACAAATATTATATCAGCAACAGAATGAATGAGCCATTACTTTCTATATCCTCCTGCTGTAGTATGAGTTTAATCCCTTTAATCTGTCCATTAAATATAACAGTTATTCCTTTGTTACTGCCTCCTTCTTTATTTTCAGTTGTTTGGAGTGACAGGTGTCCACAATGGAGAGCTATGTGTTGCTGTTTACTGGAAAATGAGTTAAAACAATGTTTCATTTAGCAAGACACACAAAAACAGGAAATGAGTTACACGAACATGCCAGGTATACAACTATACATGCGTAATCACTCTTCTTCCCCTGATAATACACAAATATCTCGTTGAATTTGATTTTGATTGCATGTTGTTGTTGTTGTTGTTCTGAGTTTAACTTTTTATTTGTATATTTTACTGAGCTGTGTTTGGTTTTTTGATCTTGTTTGTTGATGCTATGCATGTGCACTCACGACGCTCATATATTCATCATAATATCAATTTGCTAAAAGGATTCTAATTTCTAACTCTCTAATCTACTTCTCCCTCTCTCTCTCTCTATCGCTCTTTCTCCCTCTCCCTCCCTCCCTCCCTCCCTCCCTCCCCCTCTCTTACTCAATTAGTGTATCTTTCAATACAATAAGTGGAAGGTGAAGGTCAGCAGTGACTGAGGCTAACTCTTTGTTTGCAATAAAATGACGGAGCTTCATCTGTCCCTCCCTACCAACCTCCTTCACTCTCTCAGTCACGGCATCTTTAAGACTATAAAATGAACATACATGTATGTAAATATACATGTACATACATTATATTACAATTCATCATTTAGTAATGTATACATAACTCACTCTTTATGTGTGCTTGTTAGTAATGCTATGAATTCTGATAAGTATTGCACAGTACGCCAGTCCAGTATGATCACTGACGGCTTTAATGTTGTTGTAATCTTGTGATCAAAGCGTCCCCCGCCAGCCAAAACACTCCCTCCTTCTTGTTGGCTGCTATTAACTGCCGAATGATGCACAGCTTTACTGTCAAGCTTTACCAACAAGACAGGTGACTCTAAAACATACCCGTGACATATGTAAACCATGTGACATATGTGTACCTTTGTCTTCATTTCCCCACATCAGTAGTTGAGGGCGGGTAGTGTCACTATCATCTTGAGCAGTGTCAGGAGCTCCTCCAACACAATTCACATTACCAAGAGTCACTTCAAAACTACAATGTATCTCAGAATCAAACTACACTCTCATATGATGAATGACAGCTTACTTTAATGATGTTTCTTTCTTCATGACGCCCAGCCTGCTCTCAATCAATTCCAATGTGAATAACTGGACCGGCCTTTAATAAAGGATACACCTGATCAGAATCATTGGATTGGCTTGTTGCTTACTCTTTAGTCACTTTGTGCTCATCAGTCAGTGTGAAGCTAATGTCATTTGCAGAGCATTGAGCAGATACACTGTATAGGACCTGAAAATGAATCATGAATTAAATCATATAAAAATTATTATTATTATGTACACTTTAATGCAATACGTATTGAAATTGATTATTATTAGTGTATTTGAAAATAATGCAACGTTTTGGATGATAATTACTTTTTAGAAAAATAAAATAAATAAATTATAAAAAAAAGAATATTATGAGTATACTACATACTGCATGAGCCTTAGCATCATCTCCAGTAGGACCAGAACTTACTAAAAGAGAATAATAAAAAATGAAGAGACAAATAAGAGACAAAAATAATAAGAGAGATAATAAAAGATTAAATTCTCATTACATTTCCATTTGTTGGGTGGTCTCATCCATGAAAATCGTCTCTTGGTTTGCTTACGATTTGATGATGACTGCTGAACGGATTCTTTCATGAAGGAGTCTTCAGCTTTCTTTCTACCGACAAGAATATTGAGGGGACTCATTTCGTCCTCTAATGACTAAAAAACAAATAATAATTTCACACCAATTAACGTACACATGTGTGTGTGTACGTGTGCATGTATACAATGATACAAGTGTTAATTTGATTTAGGAGATGCTAATGACGATAATAATGTAAACAAATCACAAATTACAATAACAAAAACACAAAGTACAAAAACAATCTGACAAATTCGGCCACACAATTACTATTCACAGCACAAATATATCCTTCAAAGTCTTACCAATGACCCTGTAGTCTTGGGCCAAATTTCGCCAAAATTGAAAAGGAGAAAAATGTTTAATTTAATAATTTTTTCTGATACATATATATGTTCTTATGCTGTGTAGAAAGTTTGAGCTGATTCCAATCAAAATTGAATTTTATATAATTTTTTAAAAGTTGCTCCAAAATTGAGCCAAAGTCTCTGTACTGCAGTATAGGGTTTTTAGCAAAATTTCGTCAAATAAGGTTTGAAGAGAATTCTCTGTTTTTATAATTTTTTTGATACACATATTATATTTTTATGCAGCGTAGAAAGTTTGAGCTTATTCCGGTCAAAATTAGATTTTTTAATGAATTTTTGAAGTTGCTTTATATTGAAGCATCCCTTAGCATGCTTTATGGGAAACCCTGACTAAAGCAAGTAAATAAAATGTAACAAAGATACATGCAATTGGCCAATTGCAACATGCTTAACTGGCAGCACTTTGTTTTGGCGATTTCACTATAAAAAAGCACCTGATGCTTTTCTAATGTGGCAGGCACACTATACAATGATTGGAATTGTGAATATTGCTTCATTTTTAAATCAGAAATCACCAATTCTCAATACTCTGACAAACTAAAGCTTCATATGATAAAAAAGACAACGTGTCACAATAACAGAATAAGCATCTTCCTTTCTATAATAAATACTTGGACTACCATATAATATCAATTATAGTAATGAGGGCTTCCTTTCTAATCCACACACAGGATGCTACTGGGAGTCGCTTCATAACATATAACTTAATACATGTGAACAGTAAACTTGGGAATAATTGTAATGCTATCATAAGTATATCATAATAATAATACTAGTATACATGTATAGTGGTACACTAGCTGTACCTGCAGCTTCTTTTTAAGATGTCTGTTTGATCCTTTCTTTAATAATTCTTCATAATGTTTGGAGTAACTAGTACGAAGCTCTCTGTGTGAAAGAAAAGAAGAGACAGAGACAGAGAGGGGGGGGGGAAAGGAAGAAAGAAAGATGTAAAGAAAAATATAGAGTAAAGTTTGATAACATTTAAAGACAAGAAAGATCACAATAACCTTTGTTCTTTTAGTTCAAGCCAGTCCCACTTACTACGATTGAAGTACATTCGTATGCACTTGACAGCATACAACCACCTGGAAAATAATAATAATATCCTGAATCTACCATTAAATGTACATGTATACAATTCATGATTATGTTTACATAACACGCTACAGAGTAACATATGAATTAGTAATCTTTACTATAGTGACCATGCTTAATATTGCATTTAAATAATGTAATGTATTTACTAATTACTCTGTCATAAAGACTGGCTCCAAAAACCCCCAATAACATTTCTAATAATTATTCTTATAGTGTTCTTACATATGTACATGTACTATAGTACTCTCACAGGAGTAGAATACATTAATTATTTTACTTTCTGTGTGTGTGTGTGTGTGTGTGATCAACCAACCATAGTTTAGGGTTATTGTGCACGGACTGATTTGGTCTGTGCTCAAGAAAGATAACTGTATTCTGTTGGTGCTTAAGATATCCCAAACACTGAACAGACACTCTAATCTATCAATGGAATAACCAGCAGCAGTATAAGCATACAGTATGTATACAATAGGTTAATGCACTAATGGTACATGTACATGAATTACTGCTAAGAGGACATACATAGGAGATTAAATCTGTTTGGGAAAATATTTTATCTATTTTCATTGTTGATCTCGTGCAGACGCATTCGTTGCACAAAATTTTTTAATTAACAATCAAAAATATCACAGATAATTAGATGAGCTCATTGAAAAAGAATTTATTGGTACATACATGTAGCTCCAATTTACTCATCCATTACAATACACTAATAACAATAGCAACAACAATACTAATAATAATAATAATAGCAATAATAATAATCATTATTTATCTAACCTGTTCCTTAGATAATTCAATGTCAACATCTTTTAGGTTAACATCTAATACACACTAGAGGAACAACAAAAACAACAACAAAAACAACAACAACATAATAATAATAATAATAATAATAATAAAACAATAATAATAATAAAACAATAATAATAATAATTAAATTGCACAATAGTTACAATGTACATGTACACACGTGTAATACAATGATGGAGGTGGATGCTACTAATAATTAATAATCAGAACCAATACTGATCAGTAAGAATCAGTGTCTAGACAATATTAAATTGTGACACAAGTAATTAAGTTTGGAAGCAATCCAATGAACATGTACACACAAAATCAATGGATTTACTATCTTAAGTTACTATACAATCATTTAAAATCAACAAGAACAGCTAACGTAATATGCAAGTGAGTGCAATGTATACATGTATGTGCATGTAAGTATATATAAAGTATGCATACATGTGTATGTATATAGGACAGGTCAGCCAATATAAGCATAAGGTACATGTACACATGTATATTTATGAGCCACAGTATCACAATGTATGTACATGTAAGCTCACTTGAATGAGTGTCAGTGTTCCATTAGTCATTATGGCGGACCCCGACATACAAAACGGCTTTAAAACTGTGAAACACACAATTCAATCAATACACTGATAGAACTACTAAACATTACCATAGCAGCATCCAAGAGTATTGGTAGTAGATGGATTTGTAGTCCTCAGCTTTTCCTGAAAAGAGAGAGAGAGAGAGAGTGTGTGTGTGTGTGTGAGAGAGAGAGAGAGAGAGGAGAGAGGGGGAGGAAGGAAAGAGATTATACAATAATCATGTAGGATGTTACCATACCATGGCAAAACTCTGAGGGAGATGAGAAAGGAGAGAGTCTTTCTCTACATTTGGATTCCAGTAGACACAAAGAGAGGCAACATCAACTGTTTTAGCTGAAGCATTACTCTCAGATGAGACTTGCCTTTCATAAATCTCCTAATGTAGGAGAAGGAGGAGAGAGTAAATATACAATGAAATTGGATGAATAAATCAAATAGTCAAATGTCTATTATCTATAACACACAGTACACATTCAATGAATCATAATATCCAGATAATAGCCCAAGGAATGAAGCAGTAACATACAATATGCCAAACCAAGTGATGAGCCAAGTTCCAATTACATATACACAGCAATGCTATGCATGATAAAAGTGGTGCATCTATTGGCAGCAAAGTTCATTGGCCTCTGAGAATGTAAAGCCATTGACACAAACCCTCATAACAAATAGCAAGTATGCTAACATACCTTGTCTTCGTTTATCTTCACATGTTGAAGAGCAAATCCAGCAGAGCATGCCCCATTGATCAGAGAAAGCTATAAATTAATTATATTTAATGTACAAGTGTATTTGGATGATATCATAGTATGTACAATGGTATGATATAATGGCCAGTCATAACATGTACATTGTTAGAGTGAATAATGTCTGGACGGTCATTATTATTACTGATATGCCTTACCTCATCATCGATTCTGACATGTACATCATGTAATGATATCTAGCAATGATAATAATGGATATACCTATAGATATAGCTACCTCAATGTTTCTGATCAGTTTTATTAACAGTTTAACAAGAATCCTTGCTATGATGCCAATGTCCTGGGTCTCTGTTGATCCTACAAAATATTGTCATTCTACATGTATGTATATGTACGTTTAGTACATGTAGGTAGCAAGTGGAAGTTAAATTGTTTCCATTTCCCTCCCTTCCCTCCTCTCTCTCTCTTTCCTTAGTTCTTACTTGCTTTCCCTTCCAGTTGCTCAAACCTCCGTACGAGCTGTCTCTTTAGCTCAAGTTTCTTCTCCAATTGCCACTCATGATCATAATACCTCTCTATAAATAAACATGATACTTTCATCATGCAATTAGAATAGGAATGCATCATAACAATTAATATATAATGCATACATGTACATGTATATCCAGTAAATGTAACTCTAATTTGATACTACATTTCCTCCAATGTATGTATGCCATTATTATGATACCGTACATGCATAATGCATTGTTCTTGTTACAATACAACAAGTACCAACCATTAGTTGTCTGTGCAAGGAGGTAGACTCCGCGAGCCTCCAAAGAAAAACGTCCTAACAAAATGGACCAACCAAATTGAAATTCATAGTTATCTAAACAAAGCAAACTGTCATGACAGCACTCTAAATAAAGCTCACCTATTCCACCACACTGGACTCTGAGTGGAATATTAGATCCTCTGAGAAGATTATTCTAGAGAGAATAGGAGAGAGAGAGGGGGAGAGAGAGAAGGAGGGAAGATCAGTGAAGAAAAGCCTGAGAAATAAAAGCTTACCCATCCCTCATGGCTGATCCTAAGCTCCTTCCCGACACACTTTACACCTAATAATTAACAGAAATGATTAACAATAAAGACTAAAACTGTAGACATCCGACCTGACAAGCTCCCAAACTGACGGAGAGAGTCATTCTCTCCTTTGGTAAACAGCTCATTCAAATGCAAGCCAAACCTGCGACAGATCTGACATATGATGAAGCAGAAGAGCCTAAAGGCTACGTAACTCAAGAGCCACAGGACCATCGCAAGCACAAAACCATCCACTGGTTGCTAAACAGGTGAAGGTGGAGCTACAGAAGACATTAACAAGATAAGGACACAATCAAAACTATAAGTCTATCCACCTCTTCTCCACATAAAACGAATAAAATTCAGAAAATGAATAACATTATTATAATAAAATGTAGACTACATGTACAATGTGATATCATGCAAAAAGACTGGAGTGAGTCTGTGGGATGGTAGTTTATGTACTCTTGTCTATATTTAAGGCAAATCGCTTGATTCATTTGATTCACTAATAATATATGTATCAAATAAACAATAGACTATGCTGGATCCATCTTGAGAGGGAACACTGTTAATGGAGCAGTCCATCAGTCCTGGATCTCCTTCAATGCACGCTTGAAACGGATCACATCCAAACAGCAGCTTCAACCTCTCGTGAGCCAGCCCAGCCCCGAGCTTATCCATGTGGAAGTTTGAGGGTTTGACTTGCATGAGCTTCTCTCCCTCTTCAGCCCTAACCAGCACAGATAGCTCCCCAGTCTGATCTCTGACACTCAACACAAACTCATACTCAATCATTAAGAGAGAGGTCACTGGTGGAGTACTCTCAATACACGAAGGACACTGAGAGCCCATTCCATTAGTGCCATTAGTCAATGAGAACTGGGACCTACAGCTAGGACAGACTAGGATTATTGTGTCATTGATGTGACGAGCATCAATACCAACCACTTCGACAAGACAGCGATGGTTGTATGGCTCAGGAGAAGAGACTATCAGAATATCAGCCAGTGGTGTGAGTTTGTGTGATACATGTAGGGTCATGGCAGACAAGTGAGGGTAAACCCTTTCCTCAATAACCGGGAGAGATGTGATCCCAGTACTGGTAAATGACTGAGTGAGGGAGACTGCGTCTGGATCGTCCTTCTGTAGGACAGACAATTTGTCGTGATCGAAATAATCGAACAACAAATGAACTGAAGATGAAGAGTTCCCAGCAGTATCTAGTGCATGGAATACTCTCTGAGCAAAGACCTCTCTTAACGAGAGACAAGTACCAGGAGTAACGTCACTAGTACTCAAGGGAAAGTTTGGTTTGAGGAATAGAAACACGATGCACAATGAATCATCACCATCAGAAGAGGAGGAGGAGGAGGGAGAGCTAGAGAAAGGTATAGTTCCATCCCAAACAGAAAGAGACAAGAGTTTATCCGGTATAAGTTTACTCACAGACACAACGTAACACTTGATATTAGATAAAGACTCAAACTTGATGTCTTTGAGCTGACAGAACTGAAACTCGGACAGCGAGTCCTTCCATTGTCTCAAACTCTCAACAATCTTCTTTTCACTATTGGACAATGATGCATTACGGGAGCTGCTGTATGGAACATCAGTTGAGGAGTAACCATCAAAGATGTGGAAAGAAGAATAATTCTTTGACTTGATTTGAGGAAGATTATTATAAGAGCCAACTTCGACACGTCGGAGCAACACAACGTCTCCAACTTTACGAAAATTAGGTAATTCACTCTCGTCCTTACGGAATGCAATGACATTGATAGGGCTAGTAGCATTAATAGTACTATCAGTAAGAGTGAACGAAACAAAGTAATCAGTACCTTTCGAGCGCTGTGAAGGTTTGAAAAACGATATGACACCAGCTAAATTGACCCTACTTTTATCTGGGAGTTGGTCCAATTCATTTAGTTTAGTATATTCATAGTCAGCAGTAGCAGGTAAGGAAGGGTTTGTATTGTTGGAAGTGGTTACAGTTTTAAAAGTGTCGGGTTTTTGACGACGTGAATCTTTTGAAACAGGAGAGACTATTTTAGCAGCTTTAGGAGGAGGAGCGGTAGATGTAGATGGAGTGGACGTAGAAGGAGGAGGAGGAGAGTGTGATGGTAGCAGGTCTGGCGATCTTGGTCTTCTTCTTGGAGAGGGGGAAGGGGAGGGGACAGATTGTCTCTTGTATGCCCAACGGTTGATAAGATAACAAAGCAGATCACTAGACGAGTCGGAACACACTAAACTAATGTCTCCATCAGCCCCCACCACTCTCCTACCGCCATACACATAGAGTAATGCGTATTTAACTGATGGGAAGCGAATTGCTGAATCGCCTTTGAAAATAATATCAACTGTGTCTGATGTTTGTACGTCCTGTAGAGACAGGCTTAAGGAAGGCCTTCCTTTCCCTCTGCCAGCCAAAGAAGGGCTGGGTGGAGGAGTCGTGTGTGAGATTATCCGTCCAAAAATCCCGCCATTTTCACTGGCACCATCTTTGATGAACTCGCTGACTTCTTTGAAAGTGTACTTTTGTAAAAAGTGTTGAAAAGCCTTGTTCTTTGTGCTGGGGATTATAAATAAGTGACTGTTGACACGGGCAGGCTTTGAGAGCCACAAGATATCATTTTCTGGCCCAAGAACGGTCGCCATTTTATTGCTAATAAACATAACCACACCTCCCTTGACTCCACCTCTTTTAGCCACTCCCCTAAAAATGTCTCGACAGTATGGGAGCAAGTCTACCCTTGAAGGAAGGAAAGCATCAGTGGTGAGTATCTAGCATCAGTTTCTTTATGTTTAACATTCTTTAATATAGAGTGGGGAACTGTTCACGCTAACATACGGTGCACTGGTGGCTCAGTTGGTAAGGGACTATGAGTCTGATGATGAGATTAACAAGCAGTTGGATAAAATGTAAGATTGATAAAATGACTGCTGACAGTGTGTCATATTAATGTAGGGGGTACAATATTGGAGTGAGGCTAATCGAAGACTTCCTTGCTCGCTCTCCAGAGGTTGGACGTTGTCATGATTTAAAAACTACGGCCGACATTCTTACCAAAGTAATGCTTAGATATTGCTAGATTGTGGTCCTAAAATGAAGCTTATTTTGCACTTTTATTACCAAGGAAGGTTCTGCATGATTATCAAAATATGCACACTGTATATATAACTGAAACTAATCACATTATGTTCATGGCTTCACCCTGTTATCTGTATTTCTCTAAAGTTTTTCCCTGCTGTTAAGTGGAAAATCATTTTTTTGCTGTTTGGTAGGGATTCCCTGTAGTGGCTCCTACTAACTGAAACTGAAGCCCCTTAATAAGAATAACAATTTTAATGCTACCATTGAAATTATTTGTATGCCCGGCAATCATTCAGTATTGAATATAATGAATGTAGATAGTAATGTACATGAATTAATGTAGACAAATGCAAAAGTGAATCTGCATAGAACAGTATCTTACGTCACAGGGAATGCTAGTAGAAATAATACTGAGAAAGAACAACTTGATATGTTTATCTTTACACACACACACACTCACTCACATCCCTGCAGCAAGGTTTCAAGACTTTCCTTGGCATAGTACCAGTTATTGCTAACTGGAGTCCCAAAGGCGATGAGTTCTCGCTAATATTAGAATCCAATCCACTCACTGACTTTGTTGAACTACCTGATGATCATCCCAACTTACTTTATTCTAATATAATCTGTGGAGTTATTAGAGGAGCACTGGAAATGGTAAGTGATAAAGCTATTGAAATATTTTGAGCTATCAGTTGTGTTATAATAAGGATTAATGTTTCTAATTAAGATTGTGTGATTTTATGTTTAGTTTTTATCTGTTGCATAGGTTCAGTTAGATGTGGAAGTGTGGTTTGTGCAAGATACACTTAAAGGAGATGATACAGCAGAAATCAGAGTCAGGTTCAAAAAGAAGTTAGAAGATGCAGTCCCTGCAGGAGAAGACTAGAATTTTTATCATAATAATTGTACTTAATGATAATACCGTATATTGTTTTAATAATCAGTGATGGATAATGTCACGTGATCCGCCCGCAATAAAAATTGAAGCGTGTAATTTTTGAAAGGCGGTGAGTCGTCAGAAGCTGTCACCACTTACCAGATCATATTCCACTCATAATATCACTCCCTTTCCTCCCTTCTGTTCTCTTCCTGACCGGTCGATTCTGTTTGGCAATGGCGTGTGTGACACTAAAGAGACCCCTGGAAGTGATGGGGAGTCCACACATGGAGACGTCTCCCAAAAGAAGGTGTGGGATACCTCTCATCTCCTCCACTCCTCCCTCGAGAACCAGTTTCAAGAAGAGGAAAAGGATGTTAGAAACTGAGAACAAACCAGCGCCAGTCTCCACACCAAGCTCCCCGTTCATAGCCTCGACCCCTTCAGGTTAGACATGTAGACTACATTTAATCACAGACACATATTATTATTATTCTGATTTATTTATGCATGTACATGTACAACTGTGCCTAGAACTATTGGAAGTCAAGTTGTTCATGTGCTTGTATTAATCAGTGTATCTGTGTGGTTTGGATGATGATTAATAATCCCAACCCGGGCCCTAACCATTGTGGCAACCCTCCAAACGAAGCCTCTAAAATCATCTTTTATTGAGGATTAATGTGCGTGGTCATATGAGCCTGATTCACGATGAGAATGTCTTCGCAACGGAATGAGTCAATAGATGAATGAATGATTGATTGCTTGTTCTTAGTTTTGAGTTTGACACATGTGATTAGGACATGATTGATATTACTTTTCTAATTATGAGGTGTGTGTGTTTGTGGGTTGTACTAGTAGTGTCACAATGTGTCTTTTATGTACATTATGTCAACTGTTGATGTGTACACTGGTACTACTTGTACATGTACATTGGATGCCAAATACCTTCATTAATTATTGCTACTATAATGACTCTTTCCATGCCTAACGTAAACACTGCACTATAACTACACACATACCTAATGTCATTCACTGTATTATACCATCATACTAGCCCTTTATATTGTTGTTGATTTACATGTATGATTTTTTTATTCATTACTCAATTCTCATCTAAATTTACCCTTGCCACACACAGCACATAATTGTAGTAATTTTTCCTACACAATTATTACATTCTTCTATGTACAATACACTGTAATTGAAGAGGATTTGGTAATTGTAATCTATTTATACTTGCCTTCCTTACAGCAGTTGCAAATATAGAATCAGAGATAAGACGGCTTCATGGTCGTAAGCTCTTCACAGAGTCTCATCAGAATGTGTCTGCCTCATCCTCCTCCTCCTCTATAGCTAGCAAAGACCAACCATTGTTCACAATGAAGCAAGTCACCATGATATGTCAGCGGATGCTAAAGGAAAGAGAAGAAACACTTAAAGCTGAATATGATAAAATATTATCGGCCAAACTATTAGGTACGTATCATGTTTTTCCTTTACGAGTAGCTGTATATTCATCATTGCTCCTATCTTCAGTTTCATAGCATTATCAATGATTTACCCTATTTCTTTTACCATATCTCTTTTTTAGAACAATACGATGCGTTTGTTAAATTCAGTCACGATCAAGTAGAAAGAAGATTTGCAGAGTCTGCCTTTAGCTGTGAGCCATCAATAGTTATCCTCTATGCATTTTGCTGTACAGTACATCAAAATAATTATTATTTTGCCAGCATAACCTTTAAGGATTGTTTTTATGTTAAATTTTAATCGATGTCTTTCTTTCTTTTCCTCAGATGTGTCATGAATCATTTTTCACTCTTTTCTACATTATTGAACTGAAACCTCTTCACCTGAGCAATTAACTTCTGATGTGCTTATTATTATTAATTCATTCTTTACTACTATTATAATACCATACCACACAAAGGACCTACTAAACATGTATTATTATTATTATTATTTTGTTGTTATTATTTTGGGTGTGCCTTCTATCTATCTAGTTAATGATTATTGTGACTGTTTTTATAAAGCAAGCAACTTCCTCTTTGTGTTATTCATGGCGTTTCCTCCTTTTCTCGCTCTCTCCATTTAAGAGGTGTGCAAGGCGTTGATCAAAGTATTTCAGTGCAGATCATAATTATCATTTGTAGAGAAAAGCGGAGGGGCACAGTGATACCCATGTCTTCCAGTAGCAATGAAGTGGCTCACATTATAGTGAGCGTTGTGGGTTTCAATGCCCATGGCGCTACTTACTCCTCCAGCAGCGAAGGAGTTGGCAAATCTTGTCTCTGTAGTAGGTTCCGCTATCCTGGCTTTGATGACTACGTCCCTGACCATCCATCACTCTTGGCTTTTCACGAATTTGAGAGCCAAGTAGTTTCAACGGACTCTTTTTTGTACTGGGGACCAGAGGAGGCCCTCTATACTGCACGGGGGAGCAAGCAAGGCAAAGTCAAAGAGATCAAAGTGAAGCACGAGGTTTTGGAACACACCGTTTTCTACCAGGACGAGACCTCTCGGCCATTCCGTCAGCATAGCAAGCTCCTAGAGACAGCAGCCTACGCAAAGAAGGCAGCACAGACTCCAGAGTCCTCTAGAAAGATAAGCTACTACGCACGAGACGCCATTGGATTCCCCGACAGATACACTTGTCTCCCTTACCCGTCTAATCCCAACAAGCTCCAAAGAGGTTTCATCATTGCTGTTGACATCTCACTGGAAGGCCCTCGTTTTGAGCAGCAGTTCACTGCAGTCGAATCAATTGCATATGAGCTTCGTAAGTCTCCTCTGATCATAGCTGCAACAAAGAGAGATATAGCATGTCAGGCATCTCTCACCCGTCTCTCAGAATGGGCAGCAAAACAAAAGCTGGCGCTAATCGAGACCTCAGCTAAAGAAAATATCAACGTCTCTGATGCTTTTCGTCTTGTGGCTTCAAAGGTTCTGCCAAAAAGGATCAACGACCATTACATGGATTATGCTGGAGCAACCGGCGAGCTTATAACGAAACGGGCGGCTGCTAAAAAAGAGCTCAAGAATTATCTCAAGACATTCGTGCACACTTCCTCGATCACTCTAGCTAGCTTGGAGGCTACAAAATATTATCAAGATGGCCTAAATATGCTGGGAAAATTCACGTCCGACGAAGTCGTTTGTTGCCACCTTTTGGTTGTACGGAATCGAGAGATTGAAGATTTCTCTGGAGTCAAGGATAACCCAGACATGAGACTAGAGCTACTTGAAGATTTCATCGACTCACAGACAGACTTCAACGCTCATAAGGGAATGCTCAACACGTAAGTGTTTTTGAAAGCAATAATCACTGTGTATTTAACTGTTTGTGGCATCTTTAGTAGCGGACATGTATATGTACCCAGCTGCTGCTATGGCAGGCTTGGTAGTTTAGCTTATTATGAACAAGCATTATTATAACATGTAGATAAATGTATGTGTTACATGTTTTACTGACATACTCCATCTTGCTTGTTGACTAATGAATGCCTTGGCACTTTGATAACAAATGATCCCAAAACTCACATTGTTATTGTTGGACATTCATATACATGCACACAATATAGGAAAGCTAAATAATAACAAGTGCTAGGTCACGTAATAAGTGCTCCTCATTTATGCTAAATCCTGTTTTTCCATCATCTCTTATACACTGTGAATTCCGGGCTATTGAAGATTCTAAGGTTTATTTTGACAATATTGTAGAATAGTCCCCAGCTGTTTTAAACCCTCTTTTTATAGTAGTCATCAAATGACATAATGTTCCGCATGTGTGTGACTGTGTGTTTAATCAAGTTGACCGTAGTAGCTTTAGCAATGATGATCACCGATAAAAAAATAAGTCACAAGTAGAAATGTGTAGTATTTTTGTTATTTAGAATAACAAACAGGTGCATATACCGTACATGTATCTGTAGTAATTAGTCAGTGTAGGCTAGCAGTACTTGACTATCAATGATTATTATGTATAAGGCAAAAAAGCTATAGCAATGCATTGTGACTGGTCAGCCCCCCAGGAGAACCTTACAAAGTGCAATGAGTGATATTTTTGCTACCCTTTGTGGAAGCCTATTGTTCCCTGTATTAAATTTCAGTGTGGTTTGCAGTGGGAGTGGAACACCCAGTTACTATTCACTGGTTTGGCCTCAGACTTATTGTAGTGCAATGAACAATTGACATAATAGTAAAAACTTTATTATAAGGCCACTTCATTTGAACTCATAGTTGCTCCTTTCCACTGCTTCCAAGGACTATAAATTATTTGATCATCCATTTACTATGTAGCAATGATAATTTTATTCAGCCATTGTGGGAATACAAATAATTATTATAAGAGTTGTCTATAGTTTTGAATAGTATTGTTGTAAAAGATAATAATGATAATAATTAGCTGTAGTATTTCCTTTGTTAACAGTCCCACTAGCAAAGTTCATATTTTTGAACCTAATATGGTCATTAACAAGATCTTTATTTTTATTAGGATGGCAAACCATCTCGTGAACCCTGAGCAAGCTGTCTATGCTAACGAAGGTGTCGGTAATTCAAACTTCCACCATCTACTCCCATCACCTATGATAGACAGGAAAAAGGACCCTGCCCCTAGTCACAATGAAACTGAAGTCCTCAAGAATCAGCCGCAACAACAACAACAACAACAACAACCAACTTCACCAGGGAAGTATGTTAGACTTGTATCCCAATCTAGTGATGCTAGTGTCATAGGTAGCACTACTACCATTGACAGCACTGCTACTGCTACGGAGGAGGATGGGGATACTCCTCTATCTACTACACAGGTTGGGCAGGCTCTTTCAATAGAGGAAGTGTATGACGATTTTACTACTCCAGAAGGTGGACCCAGTGAAGATACTAGCTTGCTATCAATGAAAGAGAGGGCAGCACTGCTAAAGAAGCAGTTCCAAGGTCACTCGGTAGCAGTCAATGAGTCTGTACGACCGGTGACACCACCCATTCAGTCTTCGATACAGTCAAAGGAAACTTTCAGTTCCTCTTCTGCTGGATCCAGTCCAGCCGCTAATAAGAAACTGACAACAAAGCGACCACCTCCAGCAGTGCCAAGCAAACCATCGAATTATCAAAAGCACAAGATTAAAGGGACTGCCCCTCCACCTCCTCCCAATGAGGCTACATCTACCTCTCCTCCTGATGCCGCTACAGGTCTACCAGAGCTAGCATCAAGACCAGCTCTTCCAAACAAGACACAAACTAGCAGTCCACAACACTCACTCGAGTCTAAACCACAACAATTTGTACCGAATGAGCAACATTTGACGACTGAGCAGTCAGAGAGGCAAACAGACTCAACTCTAGAAAAACAAGACTTACCTGGAGCAAAGCACAAGGATATACTCGAGCTGGAGCGGCAGGACTCTCCTCTAGAGGATGTGGCTCAGTCACAGTTGGACAAGAGCAAGTCAGAACCATCCCTTGAAGATGCATCATTAGTTAAAGATAAACTTCAGGAGCAGCTAGCTCAGCAGATAACTCAGTCAAAGTCTCCACGATTAGATCAGAGAAAGAAAAACTATGAAACCAAGGGAATATCCGAGAGAAAGAACTACGAAAAAACTAAGCCAACTCCTCCTCCTCCAACCACTAAACCAAAAAGAAACGATTATGAGCCTAAATTACCAAAACTAAGACAGAAGCATGGGATAACCTCTGGAACTCCTACCACTGCGAGTGACAGTCCCTCAGTAACTAATGTCACACAGTCACCAACTAATGTCACACAATCACTACCTGTGACCACTCCACCTAATTCTGCTCTCTCTCACCCTCTACCTCCTCCTCCTCCTCCTCAGTTTGTATCAGCTGTTAATCAGCCCCTCCCTCCTCCCCCACCACAGGCTAACCCCCTCCCATTCTCTCCCCCTACTAAGGACACAATATCATCGCCTCCTATTCATTCAATGTCTATGATGTCGCCACCTCTTGATTCTAGTCCTACTGTGGTCTCTCATTATCCTTCTCTTAGTTCTCCTCCTTTACTGTCTCCTCCTGTACTGTCTCCTCCTCAATCTATGGTGAGTCCCTCCTCGTCAGTTCACTTCAGTCCTCATTCCTCTGTGGTGAGTTCTCCATCTCATTCTGTGTCATCAGTACAGGCAGTCACTACTCCTCACGGTCGCTCTCCCTCTCCCCCTCCCATTCCTCCTCACACAGCTGCAATGTTGAAGCCCCGAGAGCCAGAGAGTGTCAAACCCTCCAAGAGACACAACTACTTTAACATTTTTAAGAAGCTAACAGGTGATTCAAATGACGGGAAGAAACCAGGAGATACCCCATCAACAGATAATAACACAAATAGTGGCAGACGACGAAGGACTCAGGTTGATATGACCAGGCGTCCCCTCCCAATGGAGCCACTAGTCAAACCGGTCCATGGTGAAGAGGATTATGAGAAACCTGATACTTTCTTTGAGAGACCACGAATGCCACTACCAGGAGAGAGTCCCGGTCCTTATCCACTCCCAGTGCCTCTACCAGGAGAGCAGTATCCAGCATCAGTAGATCCTCGGATGAATAGTCCTTTTATTGTTGATCCGAGATTTGCTGACCCGAGAGTCCCTGGATTTGATCCACTATTGATGACCACTCGTAATCCGTATCCTTACGTAATTCCAAATGCTAGTGTGCCAGCTAATCTGTGGTCGACTCCTAACTGGTTTGCTAATAGACCCTCGGAGCAGTTGCTACTGAGCGAGCACCTCCAGAGGCTCCATGCCCAACAGAGTAACGTACCAAGGAGGAGCCAGTCGTTCCAGGTGACTGGTAGTAGACGAGTTAATCATTTAGACGATGATGTTGATGAGGATGGTTATCAGAATCCTGACGTTGTGGAGGACATAAGAAGAGAGCGTGATTTAACCTCTCAGTGGAGCGTTGGTCCCCAGCAGCTCCCTGGAAGGAGCATTGACTATGATTATCCTGAGCTGAGAGGTTTCAGGACAGTCCCTCGGAGATCACCTCAGCGATCACACCAAGAGAGACCACTCCCCAGTCGCAAGCCTCCCCGCCCCCTCCAGAAAGAAGATAGTTACGTTAACATGGACGAGTCTTCGTTGGCTGATGATTATCAAAACTCTGACATCATCAACTCAATGACAGACTTTGTACCGCAGGTGAGGTTACCCCCTCGCTCCAAGGGAGGCTCTATGGACGACAGCTTCCTTTACTATAACATGAGACGAAGGAATATTCTGTCACCCCCACTGAGTCCTCAGAGATCAATGCTACCTCCTCGAGGATCAGCGCAAGAGAGTGGGGGCTCAGAGATTGGTATTGCTCCTCCATCAAAGAATCCCACTCTCGTGGAACAGCAAAAGAATAGCTCTCCCTCTCTCCCTCCTCCTTTACCAGCCAAGTCCAAGGGCTCCACAATGTCTCATTCATTTAGTACAAGTAGCATTGAGAGTGGATCGAGTGGTCCTCCTCTTTCAAGAATTCCTTCTCTCCCTCCTAAAGACATTAAGGATCTACCACCATTGCCTTCTAAGCCAGAATCCCCTGGCATTGATGAGGAGACTGGACAGAAAAAGAAGATAAAGCTCCCACCAAGAAATATCCCCAGACCAGGGTTCAATAATATGACAATCCAACAACAAGAGTACACTACCATTATCTAAATAAAGATTGTTATTAAGTTTGTAATGCATTTAATTTTATGTGTGTGTGTGTTTTATGGATTTTCTATCATTTTATATAATTTATTATGGTGCTTGTTTTATTATTTTGCAACAAAGAATGATACTATGAAAGATTTATACCATAATATTACCATGTGACCAAAAAAGTTTATGTTTATTAAAATCATCAAATCAAATTTTGATAATTTTTTTGATGCACAAACATCTTTATAAATTGAGTAAAAGTCCCTTTTATAGTACATGGTTGCAAGCCAAATTTTTTCTGAAAATAATTGAAAGAGAATTATCCAATTTAATAATTTTTTTTCTTATGCATATAAATGTACTTAAATAGTGTAGTTTGAATTAATTCTTTAAAAAATAAATTTTTTTACAAATTTTTAAAGTTAGAGGAATCATTTTTGGAAAGCACTATGAACTGACTATACTAGCATAAGTACATCAATATGTATCAAAAAATCTAATAAAAATTGGGGGTGATTTTGGAGCCATTTATTGAAAAAAACCATGGACTATTATAGTACAGGAAAATTTTCAAAAGTTGGCCAATTTTAAAATTTCATCATAATTCAAAAATTTGAGCTCGGAATTAATTCAAACTTTCTACACAGCATAAGAACATCAATGTGTATCAAAAATCTAATAAGAATTGGGGGTGATTTTGGAGCCATTTTTTGAAAAAAACCATGGGCTAATAGCCTTGGGTATTTTTCAAAAAATGGCATATTTTAAAATCAGCCATAACTCAAAAAATTGAAGTCAGAGTCGACTCAAACTTTCTACACAGCATAAGAACATCAATATGTATCAAAAAATGTAATAAGAATTGGGGGTGATTTTGGAGCCATTTTTTGAAAAAAACCATGGGCTATAGCCTTGGGTATTTTTCAAAAAATGGCATATTTTAAAAATCAGCCATAACTCAAAAAATTGAAGTCGGAGTCGACTCAAACTTTCTACACAGCATAAGAACATCAATATGTATCAAAAAATGTAATAAAAATTGGGGGTGAATTCGGAGCCATTTTTGGAAAAAACCATGGGCTATAGCCTTGGGTATTTTTTTTTAATGGCATAATCAGCCATAACTCAAAAAATTGAAGTCGGAATCGACTCAAACTTTCTACACAGCATAAGAACATCAATATGTATCAAAAAATGTAATAAAAATTGGGGGTGAATTCAGAGCCATTTTTGGAAAAAAACCATGGGCTATGCCTTGGGTATTTTTCAAAAAACGGCATATTTTAAAAATTAGCCATAACTCAAAAAATTAAAATCGGAATCAACTCAAACTTTCTACACAGCATAAGAACATCAATATGTATCAAAAAATGTAATAAAAATTGGGGGTGATTTCGGAGCCATTTTTTGAAAAAAACTATTTTTCAAAAAATGGCATATTTTAAAAATCAGCCATAACTCAAAAAATTGAAGTCGGAGTCGACTCAAACTTTCTACACAGCATAAGAACATCAATATGTATCAAAAAATGTAATAAAAATTGGGGGTGAATTCAGAGCCATTTTTGGAAAAAAACCATGGGCTATGCCTTGGGTATTTTTCAAAAAACAGCATATTTTAAAAATTAGCCATAACTCAAAAAATTGAAATCGGAATCAACTCAAACTTTCTACAGAGCATAGGAACATCAATATGTATCAAAAAATGTAATAAAAATTTGGGGGTGATTTCAAAGCCATTTTTTGGAAAAACCATGGGCTATAACCTTGGGTATTTTTCAAAAAACGGCATATTTTAAAAATTAGCCATAACTCAAAAAATTAAAATCGGAATCAACTCAAACTTTCTACACAGCATAAGAACATCAATATGTATCAAAAAATGTAATAAAAATTGGGGGTGATTTCGGAGCCATTTTTTGAAAAAAACCATGGGCTATAGCCTTGGGTATTTTTCAAAAAATGGCATATTTTAAAAATCAGCCATAACTCAAAAAATTGAAGTCGGAGTCGACTCAAACTTTCTACACAGCATAAGAACATCAATATGTATCAAAAAATGTAATAAAAATTGGGGGTGAATTCAGAGCCATTTTCGGAAAAAACCATGGGCTATAGCCATGGGTATTTTTTTAAAAACAGCATATTAAAAAAATCAGCCATAACTCAAAAAATTAAAGTCGGAGTCGACTCAAACTTTCTACACAGCATAAGAACATCAATATGTATCAAAAAATATAATAAAAATTGAGGGTGACTTCAGAGCCATTTTTTGGAAAAAACCATGGGCTAGCCTTGGGTATTTTTCAAAAAATGGCACATTTGTAAAAGTGGCCCCAACTCTTTATTTTCAAATTTTTTTCTGATTTTAAAAAATAATTGCTAAAAATTAAGTAAAAGTCCCACTACTATGTGCAGATTTTTTTTATAAATTTTTACTAAAATCAGGCCAAAGATGATAATGATAAAAAGAATTCCATTTTTTATTATTAATGAGTTTGACAATGCACCTAACAAATGCGAATGGGACGTACATTTATATGACAAAATGATTTTTTATGTTTATTGTGTAAAAATGTTGAAATGATTTTGATCAAAATTATATTTTTTAACAGTCGCTAGCTCCAAAGTGGGCCAAAGACAATGGGCTATAGACTAGCACCGTATAGCTGGAAATATTTGCTGGAATTTAATTTTGCTGTTTGCTGTTCATCATAAAAACGTACAATTCAATTCCGCAAAGCATCATAAGTAATGGGTGTATCAACAGTTCATGCCTACACTAGCAAAATTAAATTCCACAAACATTAAAATTAGCTATATGGGTACAAAATTGCAAAATATAATTCCCGCAAACTTTTCCAGCTATACGGTATAAGTCAGCTCTCTCTTAGCCATTTTTGATGAAATACCCTGTACCCTGTACTATACTTATAGTATAAGTATAGTACAGGGTATTTCATCAAAAATGGCTAAGAGAGTTCTCAATTTTTATTACACTTTTCTGATGCATATTAAAAAGCATATTCTTATGCTATAGCTTAATATTAATTGAGCTGATTCAACACTTCATTACAATTAAAGCAGTCTCTTATTACTGCATTACTCTCATTACAAGATTAATTGTTTGCATCCACAAATGAACAAGCTCAATAAAATAGTAATTTCATCAAAATTTAAGGAATTTTTTGAGAATGATGTTAGCTGTGAGAATGACACTTGCAGGAAATAGCTATGAGGCCACACCGCACATATGCATGTAAACACACACAAATACTGATATTTGATTTAATAAATGCTCTTTGATGGATCAAATCTCGTTTCAAACTGATCTAGACCTACCATTATAGCTTAAACAACAATCACAATAATGATTGATAAATACAATGTAAATGCTGTCCAATGGTTTTAGACTTGTAGTGTCATTGTTTACTGGAATAATTGCAAAGTAGGTGCATGGCTGTGTTTCCTTGTGTTCATAGCTACTTGTCATTATAAAAACCTATTACAAGTGATGTGGAGATGTGGGCGTGGCTAATAAATTTAATGAACATTAATGATCAATTATTATGTATTGACCGCATTCTTGTAAATAGTACAGCAAGTTGTTACTATTCTCACTCACTCTACTCTTCCCTCCTCGTCCTTCATTATGGCGCTCAAAGTTCACAAGGTAGTCGTTGTGAGTTGTCCACGCTGCGTGTTCTCTTCTGGCGGTTCGAATAGCCCCGGGAGCGTTTCACCAGGGCTCGGGGGAGAAGGCATTGGTAAAAGTTGCTTCTGCAATCGCTTTGTTCGTCCTGACTGCTTTAAACTCCAGCACCCCTCAGTGCTCAGCGAGGACGAATGGAGAGACGAGCCAATCTACAACGGAGACCATTTCTTGTACTGGGGAGCTGCTACAAAAAGAATGCAAGACGGGAGCAAGGTCCGCTTTCAAGTTGTAGAACAGACAGAGTTTTACAGCCTTGACGTACCCGGGTCTCCTCTCACTAGCAGCACAGACCAACGTGGCTATATAGAGAGGGCATCCTCCACTCACTTCATCTCCCGTGGAAAGGTAGCATACAGGCTACACGACGAGGAGGAGTATGCTATTCCCAGTTCGCTCAAACACAACAAGTCCTCGAGAGCCACTCAGCTCTTCCCTAACCACGAGTTCAGTGATGGAAAGGCCAGCCCACCGAGTTTCATTGTACTCTATGACCCAACTCTCCAGGGAGAGAATGTTAAGATACAGGTGGAGTTCCTTACAAAACTTGTCAAGGAATTGATCAGAACCAAGTGTAGGGTCATCATTGCTTGTACAAAGTGTGACGAAGTGAACGAGGGCCGCATACAGCTAGGTGCTAATCTTGCCGCCACCGTAGCCAAGAAACCACTGCCATTCATCGAAACCTCCTCTAAAGAAGGCATCAACATTGAAGAGGCTTTCTCTCTTGTCATTAACACGAGCAAAAAGAAGAGCTACAGTAAAAGCATTGGGAGTTATCACCAGATTGTCCAGTCTCGTAGTAAGGATGTGACATACTCCACCAACTCATTTAATCAGCTAATAAAGGACTCTGTGTCTGACTTCAACACAGAGTGGAGCGACGTATGGCCTTATCTTCAAGCCAATCCAGTCTGTGTGAAAGTGGTGGATGTTTTGGGAATCAAAGAAGCAAAGAAGCTCTTCTGCCAGAGACTCATGGAGCTCAAGGTGCAGGAATTACGAGCGAAGCGCCGCTTGTCATCAAAAGAGTTTCAAAGCAAATTACTGGAAGCATTCAGCAATCACCCAGACCTCAGGTAATATGATTATGAATTATCATCTCAGTAATACGATTATTATGCAAGTTTTTGCATGTGAATTCATGTATGACATTAATAGCTAATGGGGGGAGGATGATGATAACATTATTGTTATGATTTCCAGAGTCTGTTTTAACACCAAAAAAAGGGTTTGGCTTTTTATTATGAGACATGTATGCTGATGTGGGGGACTGTTTGGTTGATAGAATTTATATTGTTTTGAGTGAAGAATGCTGCTATGCGACTGATAATGATTTATCATCAACTTCGATGATCATGTGCATCGCATTATGTGGACAGGAAATGAGATAGTTCTTTGTTAAATTCTCTAAGTTCACACAGACGCACACTGTCACACCTCAAGTAAACACACATACACACACGTAAAGAATTATGCAATAGGATACATGTACACTGGCAGCTTATAATTATACTACATTGATATGAACATGCACTCATGCCTAGATGAATATATCTCCATTTATCACATGTACATTGGAATTTGGAATTTGGAATTATACATGAATGCATATAATATGCACAGGAGCATGCTAACAAGCAACTGTAGACATGACATCTAATTATTATGTGTCTTGTTTCCATATCAATATAGAGGTGCATTTCTGCATAAATATTTAAAGAATTAGTGTCCAGATAATAAATCATGTTTCCTTGTTTGATCCTAATATTTGCAATCTCTCTCTCTCTCTCCTCTCTTCTTAAGTAAACAAGTTTATTATGCATGCCACAGGTCATTGGCTGGAGGCAACGGGGATCCCATCAATTAGTAGTCCCAATATGGACTGGAGTCTGACTGACTCAAAACACACTCATCCTTTCCCACTATACTCACATTTATATACACTTACTGACATGTGTCACTATAATTGTTGGTTTAGGGATGGGATCACAGGAAGTTCCTAGTGATTTTCACACCACCATTTTATTGCTGTTTAGCAGCATAGTTAGCAAGTCCTTAAGTAGTGGACTAAGCTATTTATAAAGAGAGAAAGAGAGAGGGTCCTCATATTACCCTCTTCCTTTGTGGTTGACTCAATGTAAACATGATTAGAGACCTTCACAGCACACATGTGTACATGTATCAAAGCATTTAAATAATAAGATATCCTTCCACTGTAGTAATACTATGGTTTGTCTGTCTACCACTTGTCAATACTGAAGCTATTGGCTTCCTATGTACCACCTGGATATCATCCTCTGTCCAATGTGTCCATGCTCAAAGCAAATTATAGGATTAGTAATATGAGGTAAAAAGGAGGGAAATACTATAAAGAGGGTACATGTGTGTGCTTTAAGAAATTACTTCTGCGTGTTGAATTCGTGTCCATGCATTGATTGTGTGTTCATTCCAACTGGTGAACCGTAAAGTGTTACATATACTCCTCCATACTTGTACCCTCTACATTTCCCACTATACCCATTGATTGATAGCTGATATCCTTTTAACGCCTTCTCTGGACATGTCACATACACTCTCTTCTGATTTTACACTTTCCCAGTCTCTCCCTCGCATCTTATGGTATAAGGTTACTGTATTGTCTGTTCATCCACTCCCCTCTCTTTCCTTCTTGAAATTATTTCATATCTACAGCAGTTATCAGTTTTCATAGGACGTTGGTTTATAGGAATTCATACCATTTGAATGTTGTGTCATTGTACACGACAGGTGTCTGTGTATATTATTATTATTATTATATATCACTATAAAAATATTTTTTGTAAATTGAGTGACCTAATTCTTGATGCATAGCAGCGTAATTGTTTACCGTCCCTATTCTTATTTATAGTGACTGGCATTGTTCTTGATGTTACAATTATTTTACTGACAAATTGTCATGTAGTTCCTTCCATGTACTTAATTATGTTGTATCATTCCTTGGCCTTTGGGTTGCATGTACATGTGTACACCTCACACTCCCTCGGGTAGTCCATTAACAACTTGTTTAGCATGATCGTTATTGTCACGAGTGTTTTATTTATATATTTTCTTCTCTCTATATTCTAGTAACGACTCTGTTTATGATTTCTTGTACACGCCTCCTTCAACTCCAAACAGTAAAGGAACTTTCTATGGATCCCCCACCGCTCCGACTCCTCCTTTGACCACGCCCACAAAGACCCCTACTCTACCCACTGATGCTGTCTCCCCTCCTCCTCCTCCCCCCACTAGTAGCATACCCTCTCTCTCCATGGATCAAACCACACCCACTAAAGTTGTGTTATTCTCGCCAACTAGAACGTTAATGAATCGCTCGTCTGAGCTGTTAGTAAACATACCCGATACACTCCTTGACGAGATGCCGCGTGATGCTAGTCTTAGGTTCAGGTATCGGACGCTCCCTCCCTTGCCCACTCAGGAACAATTCTCTCCTTCACGTCGTCTCTCTTCTACTGAGTCAATCACAAAGTCCCACCCACAGCTCGACGACTCTGCGAGCAGCTTCACTAGTAGTGGAGGGGGAGCCCCATATCTGCATCGACGTCTATCGAATTCAATGGATTGCCTGCTAGTGGAGGCGACTGGGACTCTGTTTGAGGAAGAGGAGGAGGGAGAGGAGGTCGAAGGAGTTGGGAGTCGGCTTGTTGGTGACATTAGGAGGGAGAGTGCCTGCAGCGAGGCCTCTCCTTATCTCAGACCGGTTGATGTTCGTAGAGAACTGGAGATACTAAACTCTAAACAGGACAAGTCCTTGTCTTGTAAACTACCGAGGACCAAGACACGGCCGGCCATACCGTTTCAAATGGACGACAGTTTTGTGAGTACAAGATCGAGATCATTTAGAGAAAGAGCATTCACTTCACCACAGTTGCTTAAACAACCAGGTAAATATTATTTATTATTATTGTCATTATTATTATTATTATTATTATTACTATTATTATTATTTTCATTATTATTATTATTATTACTATTATTATTATTATTATTATTATTATTATTATTATTATTATTATAAAGTAACAAGCAACAGTACAATAAAAACAGAAAGGGAGAGCCCTACAAACCAAAATACTATTAATATTATTATTATTATTATTATTATTATTATACATGTGAGACTGTAGTAGCAATTCTCTGTAATGAAGGAATGAACACTATGTATACTTGTGCATGGTGTAGGCTTCATTGCATATTAATTGGTGCCGTTTCAAGTATTATAATAATGACTTTTCTCTTTTGACCTTAATTTATGTTAAGGGAAATACTTATTTCATCTTAATATGAATTTTATTGTTGGAGTCTTGTGGTTATTCGCAAAGTATAGTAAATGACCTTGATGTTATGACAGTAATATAACATGCATGAATGACACTAGACCGTATCCACTACCACAGACTGTATACATTTAAATGTACTGTGTGTCATAATTTGTAGTGTGACTGGTAATTTGTCGCTATCTCTGGTATAAAATTTTTGGCACACTATAAGCCACTGTTATTTAAAGAATGCCATTTAGTTGCGTCACCTGTGTCACCAGTTATGCTTTATGAGTTTGAAATTTTCTTGTAATTCAATAAGTTTTGCATTCTTGACCTGAAGGACATAGCTCAATTAGACCCCACAAATTACATTAATAGATGATGGGCCAGTCAAAATGAATTTTCAAGAAATAACTGAATCCTCATAGACATTAAGGACCACTAGATGAGCTTTCTAGTGTTGATTGTTATTTGAAGTGTTGTTGAGTATTTCTCAATAAAATTTGAATGACGTTTAATCAGAGTTTTGAACATCTTAAAAAATATGTTTAAAAATAAATATAGACTTTATACTCAATTTCTGATACATAACATTGTTTTTATATTGTGTTGAAATTTTGAGTCAATTCCAAATAATTTTTTTGAGTTTTGAGCTTTTAAAAATACTTTTTCAAATAAAAATAAACAAGCTAGTATTAAAAATTACACATTGTTTTTAACACCTTGTTTACACCTTAAGGTGTGAACAAGAACAGGAAGTGCTCTTGTACACCACCTGAAAATATTTATTATATTTTTAAAATTCCAGTGCTATTTAATATGTAAATAGTTTTGTTCAACAAGCATTACATATAAAATGTCTTTTTAAAATTATGATGATAATACAATATCTTTGTTGTTCTCATTAGGTTTTTCACACGAAGTCCTACCTCCTGTTCCTCCTTCTGCCCCTCCTCTTGTCTCCCCAGTTCCTCCTCCTCTCCCTCCTCCTCCTGCAAAGAAACCGACCACCCTACGGAAAGAGAGTCCACTACTAGTGGGACTATCTAGTCTCATAAATACAGGTAACAGCGAGGAGTCGTCTCTTGACTGTGGGCCACGTATCCTCATAGATCAATCGACCAAAGGAGAAGGTACCGGGGGTATGTCAGTCATTAAAGATGACACCAGTTCAGTCGGTAGCGGCTCATTTGCTGAGATTGATGACATTGATGATCCTGATGGCTCCATCGCCGGAGGTGCTACCGAAGATAGCTATCGTTCGAAAAGTCAAACCCCAGATCCGCTACTACATGCTCATTCTTCCTCAACTCTACCATCCCGTGGTGGCTACCGCAGCCTTCTACTAATGCCAGTGAATACACTCCCAGCTCACATGTCACGAAGTGCTAGGAACTCGCCCGAGAAAGAGAACCTTTATGCCAGCATACCTGCTGCGGACGAGGAGTACCTGACAATGAGATCAGGAGTGAGTCTAGAGGACATTCTCTCTGGGAGCAGTAATAAGCCAAGGAGCATATCAATGCCTGCCCATGCCGCACAGTCCGTGATCGATAAACTGAAGTCGGTGACAAGTCTTGGATCCCGTTCCAAAGAACAGACTAACGTAGAGAGCAGTCCACATCATTCTCCCTCTCCGAGACACAGTCAAAAAGTAGTCTCACCCTCTTATCGTCCCTTCCAGTCGTTTGATGAAGGCAGTAGCCGTGGTTTTGTACCTGTGGTTAGGCCACTCCCTCCTTCGCCTAATAAAATGAACAGGCGAGCCAAGTCAATGCTTGGCAGTCCAACGAAACGGAAGATTAGTTCAGGAGGAGGAGATAACAATATTTATGAGAGTATTGACGAGAATGAGGAATGGTTTAAGCAGCTTAGGCAGGAGAGGGCTCTTCTCAACCAACAAAAAATGGATAAAGTTGATCCAGAACTTGCAAAGAAATCTAACACCATCATGAGCCACTTCTTGGAGTCAGCTCAAGTCCAGGAGCTGTGGCTAGAAGCAGTCAGAAGAGTGATACCTGATTTTAACCCACCGACTGATGCTTCTATACCTCCACTGAGCATCAACCCAGAGTACATTATCAGGTATGCTAAACAAAGCACTCAAGAAAGACATCAGTCGCCATCTTCCAATGGAAATGATGAAAGCAAAGAGCAAGAGGAGGAGGAGGAAGAGGTTTGCTATCCTCCTGAGAGAGAAGAGGAGACTCACAGAAAGCTCACAGTTACTGATAGTGTCCTCATTAGGATGAACAGATCGTTGCAGCAACTCTCAAGCAGTTCATCCTCATCCTCCTCCGAGTCCGAAACTGAAGAATCAGACGACGAAGAGTCCGATCAAGAAGGAAACGACGAAGGGGAGACTGAGATCCCTTCATCTGTTGGTTGGGTATCAGGAGGACAGAGAGAGGAAGTGGACACTCTTAGGAGTGAGACTGGAGGCTCTCCTCTCACGCTGGCAGTAGTACACCAGCAACACACAGAAGAGGAGAATGACTTCATCATGACTTGTGATGGGAATGCTAAAGGGAAAGAGGAAGAAGATGAAGCAACAGAGTCAGAGGAAGAAGAGGAGGAGGAATTTACTAGCAATGAGGATGAGAGAGAGGAAACCACTGCTGTATCAGACATGATCCAATCTCATGACATGCATGTAATGCATTCTAATAATAACTCTAGCTATCTTAAGTATCAATCAAATTCACCGGCTCAGTCTAGTAGTAAAAAGAATGAGACGTCGCCAATCTTCTTTACCCAGACACAAACTAGTCCCAGTATTACTACTAACGGTCATCTCTCTGTATGTCAATTGAACTCACTGGATTCCGGTATATCAGCTAGTAATGGAGTGGCAGATGAAACCGACTGACATTATTATTATTATATTATTATAATTGTTATTATTAGACTATATACTTCACTTATTTTCACCCACTTGACCCTATCATATACATTTTTGCACAGTTTTGCACTTCTTTCAGTATTTTTGATACAAAGAATTGTTGTAATTTACAGTAGATCCTGTTTGTGGTGGTACATGTTATGAATGTAGAAGTTAGCATCACAGGAAGTGCTATAAATATTTCTTTGCAGTTTGATTACATCAACAATTGAAGTCGGAATCAGCTCAAACTTTCCACGTAGCAGAAAGACATCAATATGTACCAGAAAATGTAATAAAATTTGGAGTGATTTTGGAGTCATTTTTTGAAAAAAAGCTTGAGCTATAGCCTTGGGTATTTTCATAAATTGGCCTTTTTAAAAAAATACTCATAACTAAGTCAGAATCAACTCAAACTTTCAAAGACACGTTTGTGCATAAAAAATTATTTAAAAATTGGGGGTGATTTTGGGGTCATTACAATAAAATTGGATCCATTTTTTGAAGAAAAGTATAAGCTATCTAACTATAGTTGATGACTGAGACCATCTATAATGAGATAATATATGCATTAGGCCACTGCTAGCCCACTAGCATTAAAAATTCTACATAGACTCTAGACCTACTAACATTATTGCAATAAACCTAAGACCTGACTATAGATCTACTTGAGTTGAGTTATTCTCCGACAAGAGGAGGAGGACCATACAAGAGAGTAACTTTTACTTTCCTTCTACAAGTTTTCCTTTTTTCCTCTCCTCCATATTTTGATGCAGCATCTACAGTGAAAGGTTTTACCTAAATTATATTTTATTTTTGTAGATTCAATAAGGCAAAAAATATAATAGTCCTCCTATTTATAAAAAATTCCAAACTAGCAATTAGAACAGTAGGTGCGTGGGTGGCTAACTTTTTGTAACCACCCACGCATTAAAACTCCCTACTTTATCAGTTCATAGAATATGATTATATGAACCCTTGATTGTACATTGATTGTATTAGAGAACTTGCATGAGAGCATAGTATCTATAATGTGAGAGATATGCAAAAAAGGCCGGTGTTTAAAGATTACAATTGTCAGTCAGATGTGTCAGACATTTGGTCAAAAAAATCTTACACTAATCCATTTTCACATAGACTTTTTGATCCTTTAATTTTTAATTTTTTTATTTTTTACCTTTATATTCTAACAACCATTAAAATTCAAAATTAATAATGAATTTTTATTACAGCTGTTATTAGGTATTTAATTCTTACATTTATAGTTGAAACTAAAGCCATATAAATTAATGTGCATTGACCAGATCACAAACTTTTATAAAGTACAAGGGCAATATGTGTCAATAATGTTGTTTTGGATTAGAGTTTCTTTCAGTATTATTTGCAATTATCACAGGAAGTAGAATTGTGTTGTGATAGATATACCTTGTAGTCAAGAAGATGGGTGAGAATAAGCTGGTACTTTTGTTGGTTATAGTATGCCTCTCAGTGGATGGAGCTGGTAAATATTTTTTCTTTGACTGTCTCATTACCTTTTTATTTCTTTCTATTTAGTTATTACAGTGCCTCCTGTACCAGTAACAGCTCCTATCTATACAACAGCAACATTTACTTGTAAAGGAGTTGGTGATATTTTTAATTGGCATGTTCAAAGTGTTGTACTGATGGACTCTATTGCACAACAAAGAGAAATAACAGTCACTACTACCAAGAATAATAATACTAACTTCTCATCAGTACTGACTGTTAATGCAATACCTATTAATGATGGCCTGGGAATTGGCTGTGAAATGATTACTTTGCTTCCTTTTAATCGTGTTATATCAAGCAGTGAACTAACTATTAGGGGTTGTAAATTATACTTATAATTAATATTATTTATATATTAATAGGTATTTCATCTGTTAGAGATCTTTTCATTAACTTTTCCTCAAACAACTCACTGATCATAACATGGTCACCTCCTGCTTACTTCTCTAATGATATTCCCATTGACTTTTCTGTTAGTTATAAAATACATGTTACTGTTGGCGATGAAGAAAACACAATTAAAACCAACACAAATTTGGTTGAAGTTCATAACATCACTCAATGTGATACATTTAGTGTTAGTGTAACAGCACACGTTAGTCAATACACATCTATTAATGAAACAAAAGAGAATTACGGAAGTGAGTCTTTGTAGCTTTTATAGATTTATGGTATTTTCAATAGATTGTAGCATTAAAATTCAGGAAATTTTTCAGACATTTGATGAATCCATTATTTTGCTTAAAGTAAGAGAATATCAAATGCTATTTATCATGAATTCAAAAACAATAGATAAAATGCTCACCCTTGCTGTGTAATAAGATTATATTAGTAGAAGCTTCATATAATGACAATGTTTATTCTGAAAATATCCAGCTTTTTGAGAAAAGTTCAAATGATATTGATAGTTTAACTATGAATTATTCAGCAGCAAACTTATTGCCATTTCAACACTATCAAGTTGTATTGAAACTATTGAGCTTGATGATGATTACTGAAGATCAGGATATCAAGTTTATCTGTAAGTATGTACAACTTACAACTTTCACAAATTAGTGGTTGTAGTATCTGTGTGGTCTTATTAAGATTAGCCTAAAATAGTCACCCCTTATCCTTACTTGAGCATGAAACTATGAACATTTTAGGCTGCCACTATATAGAATCTATATAATGCATAAATAAAAAACAAAATTTTGCTGAAGCCTTATGCAGCAACATTTGCAATTATACATATGTGACATATTTTTTTCCTAAGCTACATATAATGTACAAGATCTGCTAGTATCTACTGAAGCCAATGGATCAGTTAGTGTACAGTGTGTGTTTGTATCAGGATCAACTGCTGATGGATGTCATGTGGCATTTAATAATACTAGTCATGGAAGGAATGAATATTTTACTATAACTGGATCAGAAAGCACTATAATATCATTATCAACCAGTGGAGTATATAATGTAACTGGCTATGATATTGTTAATGGATCATTATATGGGCCTGCTGTCCAATATCATAAACTGGTTGAAGTTGTAATTATTCCATCATCTTCAATGGCATTTGCTAGCAGTACAAATAGTAATGATGGCAGTCTCTGGTATTAATATAACTTTATTATTCTTTCATTTAGAATGGTGGACAGACAATGAAACAGTAATGTCATCTCCTTCAGTATCAGGTATAAAGATTGCATGTAGCTACTTACAAATCCTATTCTAGCTGTTGCTTTTACAGTGCAAACCACAGTTTTATCACCAGAAAGTAGTAGAGTACAAATACTGCCTATTATAGTCTGTTCAGTAGTGGGTGCAGTTCTGATTTTTATTTTAATAATTGTGCTAATCACTATTGCAGCTTTTTGTATGAGGCGAAAAAACAGAAATGAAGGTAGATTTAGCTATAAGAATATATCTGTTAATCTGTAATCTGATTTATTTTAGTAACTGAAGAAATAATTGATAATAATCCAGCATATGGACAAGGTTTATAGCTACTTAAATTTTAGATCATTGCAGGTTTCTAGTTTTACAGGTGCAAAATCACCACTCTAATCAGAGGTCGAGTGTCAAAATTGATGTTAATCCAGCATATGAGACAGTCAGTGCAGCATATGGACATAAACACATCACTGATACCATAGATTATGAAACTGTTTTGTGATTTTTATTCAGTGATTTGAGTTTTTGAAGCATAAAATACACATTGAGGTTTATAAATCAAAATTTAAAATTTAAAATGGGTGTGGTGCCGTGGCGACACTATCCTAAAAATTGCCTATGTAGTATGTTGCTGTTGTGTTAGTGTCGAGGTTAATGTCCCCTTTCTCCTGGTACAACTTTTAGTTGCTCGTCCTTCGCTGTAATCGAATTCGTCATGATAATGGCATCTGTTTCTTGTTGTTCCGCTGCGCCTATTTTTTATATTTTATTAAGTCTTTTCTTTATACGCGAGGGCGGCGGCGAGGCTAAACCTGCTGGTAAGTGCGGTTTGATTTTCGAGTTGGTTTTAGCAATGTTAGTGAGTAGTCAATGGGTAGTGTGGCAAAAAATGTTGCCTCCTAGATCATAGTAGATATGCCACTTTATTATTATTATTATTATTATTTAATTGCATCAGTAGTTATTATGCTAATATGGCAGGAATTTTCAGAATAACAAAATTCACCAATTTAATATTTTTGTCTATTTAGTTAATATTACAGTGCCTCCTGTACCGGTAACAGCTCCTATCTATACAACAGCAGCATTTACTTGTAAAGGAGTTGGTGATATATTAAATTGGCATGTACAAAGTGTTGTACTGAATGATTCCATTGCACAACAAAGAGAAATAACAGTCACTACTACCAAGAATAATAATACTAACTTCTCATCAGTACTGACTGTTAATGCAATACCTATTAATGATGGCCTGGGAATTGGCTGTGAAATGATTTCTTTTTTTCCTTTTAATCGTGTTATGTCAGGCAGTGTATTAACTATTAGGGGTTAGTAATGGCATTAAAATAAGAAGGATTGTGTATTTCACACTATTGTAGGTATATCGTCAGTTGAAGATTTAGAATTTATTTTCACTACAAATAATTCATTACTAATAAGATGGTCCCGTCCTGCTTATTACTCTAATGATATACCTCAAGGATCACCTGTTAATTATCAAGTATTATTTACTGATGAAGAGCAAGATGTCATTCTAGATGTGTCTTCTACAATTATTGAAATGCATCTTATTTCACAATGTGATGCATTTAACATCAGTGTAACAGCACTAGTGGATCAATACATATCAATTAATAATACTGTCAGTAATAATGGAAGTAAGTGAATGAATGAAAGCTATTTTGGACATTTCTCATTATATAATAGGTCTTGGTTATAATGCTACTATTACAACAAATGAAGATAATTTTCTAACTCCTAATGTTTTTATTGAGGTAAATTTTTTAATTATGTATTTTATTGGTTTATCTTATATTAGTTAAGTTGTCCTCCATCACAATCTATAAGTTCTCTCAATATTACTAGTGATAGTGAGCTTATCGATCAATACATATTCACTGGTACTGGTGAAGTTGTCAATGATGAACGTACATTAGCACCTTCGAATGAATACAAGTATACTGTACATATTTATAACTTAAGAAACAACCTCAAATATGAGACATATATCATCATTAGTAAGTATACAATTAATACATTCTACCTCACTATCTCTCAGCTACATATCAGGTTATTGGTCTAAACATTAACAATACATATACCAATGGATCAGTTAGTGTACAGTGTGTATTTGTATCAGGGTCAACTGCTGATGGATGTCACGTGATGTTTACTAATACTATCAGCAGAATGAATGAATGCTTTAATATAGTTGGATCACATGATACAATAATATCAATATCAACAAGTGGTAATTATTCAGTGACTGCTTATGATATTGTTAAGAATGGATCATTTAATGGACCTGCTATTGAATATTCTACACTAGTTGAAATTGTTAGAGTGACACTTTCTACCTCTTCCTCATCTAGCATTACAAGTGAAAGTAAGTATAATATGACATGATAATAATAATTATTATTCCTCTTCATTAGGTACTACTGCTCTTCCTCATTCCACTGTTATTCCTACAATCACTGTTACACCTGGAACTGAAGCCACCTCACCAACAAGTATAAACACATACACATACATACAATGTATACTTACTCATATGTTATTATAATAGGTGGAACTATTAATGATAACACCTATATTGTACCTCTTATGGCCAGTATATTCAGTGGTATTGTACTACTAATATGCATTATATTAACAATATATGCTATGCTTTGTGTTTGTTTGAGGAAAAGGAAAAAACGAAATAAGGGTAAATATTATAATTTGCTTTATTGCATGATGTGATTGATGTCATGATAGGAGATTTTAGAAATCAAGACTTAACAAAAAATTTGATATCACCAAAAGTATGATGCACTTTGTGTGCCTTCAGCATTCCTGATAATTATGACAACAGTGTTACTGGCAGAGACATAATTTTTTTTCTAATTTTAGTATGTGGCTAGCTAATTAATTTTTTGCAAAATCTTTAAAATATACTTCAAGAAAAGTCCAATATTATACTGTAAAATTCTATTTCATACATGTACCTGCATGCCTAGTTGCCACATTGGTGCACAGTGGTTCATTATACACATCAACTTTATTACAATAATAATGAATCATAAGTGAGTGTAGCTCGTAATTTTTTAAATTGTAAGTTCCTGACAATTGTATCTATAATAATGTAATTAATATGAAGATACAGCTGAGTACAATTTATCTAGATCTATACTTTAAATTGTTGAAATGGTTATTAATACTGTATCTTGATGCTCTTCAATTATTGATGTCACAGCCAATTCCTGGTGGCAGCGTACCAACAACAATTGATTATCCATACACAACTAGTACTGTTACTCTTAGGGATAATACTGTCAGCATGCCTGCTAGTAACAGCAATATTCCTGTTACTACTCATGCTGAGCTTGGTCAAATAACTTATAGTAATGCTATACATACTGTTGATCAAAGTGTTACTTATGCTACTACTGCAGGATGTATTAATAAGGTATTAACATTGAGTAATGTTTAATCCTTTTTATATTTACCTTTTAGAAAGAAGATATCAGTGTTTCTCAATCTGGCATGTTAGTTGATTTATATACTCTCTGATTTTTAATCCTTTTAATTACCATTTTTAGTACGTCTCCTCCTCCTTCACTATGATGATGTTGTTGTAAAAAAACAAAGAGCTACTGTGAGCAGCTCTCTGCTTGAAGTGCCAGTACAAGTGACTGATGATCCAGAAGTTTTTAAAAAAATATGGTAATACATATCAATCTATTACCACTATTTAAAATTTATAAAAAGAAACCACAATCAAAAAAGGGAACTTCATGAAAATAATAATAACCAGAACTTGGTGCCTGGTGATGACAATAGATCCAAAAACAATCATAATATTAAAAAGTGAAGTAACTCAAAGTAGACTATATTTTAATTTAAATTCCTAGACATCTTCTCTGTAGTAGGTCTACTTTTTATTACTTGTCTTAATGTGAAACTATATTTTAATTTGTGTACTAGTAGTAAGTGTCTTGATTTTTTGCTGGTGGTTGTTCATGATTTAATATTATTAATCATAATTAGCAAAAGTCTAGTGGCAATCTAGCTTCAGAGAAGCATGATACAGAAAGTCTAATTGTCCAGTATTTTTAATGTGTATTGGACATTGCAATAAAAATTGAGGGTGATTTTAAGGCCATTTTTCTAAAAAAAAATTATGATTAGACCTATAGCCTTGTGTATTTTTCAGGAATTGGCATAATTTTTAATGATCATAACTTAAAACCAGAGCTTTCTAATTAGCATAAGGACATCAACATGCATCAGAAAATGTAAAAAAAATTTTAATTGTCATACTTACATAGCATAAGAACAACATACAATGTAATTAAAGTTGGGGGTGATTTTAGAGCCATTTTTCCAAAGAAAGCAAATGCTATAGTCTTTGCTTTTTTACTTTTAAAAATGGTCATATGACATATAATTTAGCTCAAACTTTTTATCCTTGGTTGCTCAGGCTTGCCTTAATAATAATAGTATTTTCCAGTTTACAAAAAACATGAATAACAGTTGCATTATTGTCAAAATACATAAAATATTATAACAAAAATAGAAACAATACAAAGAAGAATAATTGCACGTTCTGCCTTAAAACAACAATAATAATATTGATAATAATAATAATAATAATAATAATAATAATATTCTAACATGTATAATAGACAAGAAGAATACACAATGAGAAAATGACAAAAATTGATAGAAAAGTAATAGGAAGAAGCGTCATTGACACAATATGATGAAAAAAGTTACTTTGCGTTATTGTAAGCACGGAGATTTATTCTCCGAATCTTCTTAGGGACAGGTAGTTCGTAACGCACAACCCTCTCGGTCTTCACGTAAGAGACAGCCCCAGTCCCTCTACCTTCCACAGTATGCTTTCTAGTAACGTTCCTCTCTCCAGGCATGGAGCGGGATTTATGATCGTGCGAAGCTAAATTGGAGCCTAACTGTCTAGTACCAATGTGAGGTGCTGGCATGGGGCCGATCTTATCGTCAAATGATTTTGAGGAGAGAGTTATTATTTTTTCGGAAGATGAGGAGCCGCTAGCGGGTGGTTCTTGCAAAGACCGAGTAAAGTTCCTGTCACCGTCGGACTGCTCCCAATCTCCTCCACTGTGTCTGCCTTTGCTGCTTGAGAGTGACTGAGACGTCAGCGAGGATCTCTTCTTAACGTAGGACTCACGCGTAGAGTAAGATAAGCTAGATCTGGACTGACGGGACGAGTCGTCTAGCGATTTCTGCAAAGAATGTTCCTCAATGGATGGAGGTCTGTCAAAGGACTCTGGAGCCTTTGGTGAGGGTGTGTTATTGTCATTGTTATACTTGGAGTATCGTGATGGTATAGTGTACGGGCTGCCAGTCACCTCAGAGAGTTTGTCTGGTCTGTTTAAAGTCCTGCTAGGAGAGCTCTCAGTGTCAGAGCTATACCCGGCCCCACTCCCAATAGTGAGCTGTGATCCACTCTCTGACTGGTTATTGTAACCCAGGGACAGGATATCACTCGTGGCAAACATGCTCCTTCTCCCGAGTGACCCGGTAGAGTTCTGAGAGCGTGGGAGGCTATTCAAGTGTCTCTCTGCCTCTGGTCTGTCGTCAATGCTAGCAGTAGTTGAATCCACCGATTCAACTCTTTTCATTTGTCTCTGGTGAGACGGTGAGGATTGCTGCTGATACGAAGAGTATTTACTGGCACTAGGTGTGGTCTTAGTATCACTGCTCTCTTTGAGTCTTGAGGATTTAATGTCTTCTTTTGCAGGAGGTGGTGAGCTTTTCTTATCAGCTGTAGAAGAGGTGCTTCCAGTAGTCGTGAGATTAAACCTATGACTGATGGTCTGTTTAATGAGCTCTGGGTTAAGCTTAGAGAAAGGAGTGTTCATGAACTCTGCCAGTGAATCATCAGGCGAGCCACTCCGACGATTTGACGAGAGTCCTTGTTGATTCCAGCCTCCACTGCGGGTCATCCCAGCACTGGAGACCCTGCTCCCAGGGCCTGATATACTGCTGCTACCTCCGGCCTCAAGTGATGTTGTTAGAGTGTCCCTACCAGTCACTGAGTGGGTCAGGGGACGAGACGATGAACTAGTTGCTACAGTGTGACTCCGCGGTCTACTGTCAGCGGCTGCCGGTAAAAGTGAATCGTAATCGTTAGCGTAAGAGAAAGAGGTTGATTGGGGGATGCGTGGCTCTATGTGGGGGAGATCTGACGACTTTGAGAATGAGTTGGAGTGACCTGGCTTCTTTCTTTTCTTGCGAGCGCTCCCACTGCTGCTGCTACCGCTGTTACTGGTCCCAGGATCAGGATGCATCACTCCTCCTCCTCCTCCTCCTACTCTCGTGGTCTCAGAGTCTAAATGATCAACACGATGAGGGAACATCGGAGAACCAATCCCGTGGGAGGAGTTCCTTGAGCGAGAGAGAGGGGAGATACCCCCAACCCCTCCCCCTGCCCCCAGTATCGATGAAGATGCTAGATCAGGTGTATAGTGTTTAGTGCTAAGAGATTGAGATACAAACGAGTGTCTTCTTGATTTTGCATCTAAGTACGGCGGCCGGGACCAGACCCCAGTAGCCTGACGTGTCGTGATCGGCCACTTGGTTCTATCATAAGTACCACCCATACTCTCATCATCCTCGTTGTCAGACATGTCTCCTTCTACCCCAGTGCTAATACTGCCACTCAGGAGTGAGACCTGACCTCTTGAAGAGGTTGATAACAGAGTCATGTTCCCGTCAGCCTGTGAGAGGTGCTGGTAACTCGATTGGTCGTCTTCATCGAAAGAGTCCTCGCTGGCGGAGGTACAGGTTGACTCCATGCTCAAGTTTCGCTGATGGTAGTACTTCCTTGAGCCGTTACTGGAGATGGTGCCCCCACCTGAGGTATCGTCATCTTTAACTTTAACGTATTGTACAGGTCCCATTTCTCTCTCACTCTCGGAGGCCTCAGAAGGTCCTATATCAGCCTGACGGAAGAGCTCAGGCAACTCGTTATTGTATATCTCCATGGAGTGTCTTATCATGAACTCGACTAGTGTGGGGGCCTCGTTCTTAATGACTGCGAGGGAATAGTCTGGCTCAAGGAGAGAGGGGGCAAAGCATATGGCAAGATTGGTAGTGCTCATCTTGTTCAGTTCCTCATACTGGGCTATGTGATGGAGGAGGGGCAGTAGGTAGCGTAGAAATACTTGATTAGGTGCAGGGAGTTTACCCAATACCCTAATGGAGAGAGAGGAGGGAGGGGAATGATGAAGATGTGAAGGTTTATCTTACTTTCTGATTTGTTGGATTCTAGTGGTTTCATCAGCAATGTCATTAGTAGCTACAAACTCAGTGTATCGGGAGGATGGTAATATACCACCTGGAACATTCCTTAACAGCTCCTAAAATCAGAGAGAGAAAGAGAGAGAATTATTAAAAGTGAAGATTAGTATAATCATTAAAGTTACTTTAAGTAGAGATGAGATGACATGGATTCCTTCATCAGCAATATCAACTGATTTTCCTACAAGCAAAAGAGAGAGAGAGATTACATTATTTATGAATACAGGGACACATTAGATTGGACTTACTTCCATCAATGGCTTCTTTGACTTCTCTTATTTTTCTTGCATTCCCATTGAGTCTGAATATTCCTGAAGTGGTAGCTCCATCCACCCACAGTCTTATCAGCATCTCTTGTAGCTTCTCTGGGAGCTGATTATTCACTATAATGTCCTCCAATGGAACCGAGAACATTCTGAGAAAGAAAGAGACAGTAAAATTAATACATGCAAATTATGAGATCTATTTCTTCCTGGTTGTGTTACATGGGGTAATCACAAAATAGCAATATATCAAAATTTTTTCAGGAATAACAAAATTAATACAATTTTAAAAAATAATAAAAAATCCAATTTTGATCGGAATCAGCTCAAACTTGCTACACAGCATAAGCTCGTGTATATGTACCCGAAAATTATAAAAATGGAAAATTCTCTCATAGTCATTTTTGGTGAAATCTGGCCAAAAACCCTGTACTATAGTACAGGGAATTTGGCCCAATTTCGGAGTAACTTTAAAAATTCGTAAAAAATCCAATCATGATCAGAATCAGCTCAAACTTTCCACGCAACATAAGTACGTATATATGCATCAGAAAAAAGTATAAAAATAGAGAATTGTCACTTAAGTCATTTTTGATGAAACACTCAGCACTATATACTGGTACTGTGCCCATTCATTAGAGTATGACTTACTTGACTGGCTTGTATGATCTCTTCTTTAACATTCTAATCTTCCTCCTCAGTCCACTCCTGGATGAAGTCCGTGTTATGTCGTGCTGGGGCTTTCGTCTCACGACAAACTCGAGTTGCTGAGGATTGGAGTCATTAGTGAGGTCAATCTGGTGTCTATTGTGATGGCTCTGAATAGCAAATATACATTCGTGACCTGAAAAAGAATATAAGTAATAATTAAGAGAAGAAGACAATAATAATAATAATAATAACAACAACAACAATAATAATAACTCTACCTAACCTACTTGTGTCATTTGAGATAATAATAATAATGGTAATATAGTAAAAACAATAATAATAATATTAAATAATGATGATGATGATAATAAATACATTTACGATGAATACTCACATACTCTGCATTCTACATTAATAAAAAATCATAACATACTCCAGACGTGTCTGACAGGTATTATGGGATTTATACAAATCTACATGTATCAGATGAGCCAGATCAAAGGATCATGCGAATAAGTACGAAGTCCACAGACGATACAAAAAAGGTACACACATACTGTACATGTACCCTGTACTAGTAGTATGAGGAGAGACAGACAGACTCATCTACTATTTGTGACACGATGGTATTATCATAGGGCCAATAATTACCCTGTACAAATTACTAGCTTGATATTACTTGTACATCTATTTCATGACTGACTGGTCTCAAACTGATTTAGGACTGCATGGATTGTGATGATTATAATGAAGACAAAATTCTTATTTAAAACAAACTCAATCTCGAAATAATAATAATAATAATGGGTATTTGTGCATAATTAATGTAATTTTATTATCATCATTATTAATCATTATCATTATGTCTATATGGATACATGCAAATATGTGTAAAATTAATTGACACTTCAAGTACAAATTTAATTGACGTTTTTGGTATGACAGTATAATATCAATTACCTTGCAATAACTCTTCTTTGTCCTCTTTCACTAGCTTCACCCACAACTGGAACTCAGACACTGGCTCCTGTTGTTATAAGGGAAGGGATTGTTAAGAGGAATAATACACACACACAGTGTCAACTCACAGTACACTTGAGGTGCTGTAAGGCATTGCTCAATACAGTGAGACAATTCTCTGAAATATGAACTTGTATA